TCCCCCACCCGTGTCACAGACTCCCTCTCTGCAGGGCCTGTCTGCAAACAGCTGCTCCTGCCTCCCCTCCCTGCTCGCCTCCCTCGGCCCCCGGGCTGCTGCCATGGGAACTGCTGAGGAAAGCTTGATGCTGAGAGCAACTCTGGGGGCCCATGGGGAGCTGGGAGAGGGTGCTGGGCAGAGCAGTGGTGCCAGGCGGCGGCAGGCCCCCTCTGTCCTCAGACGTCCACCCCAGGACTCCTGCCTCAGCGGCCAGGGCTACAGCCTGTGCCCTGGAGGAATTCCACACCCAGGTGCCAGGCGCGTGGAGCTTCCTGTGAAATGAGGCTGCTGGGCGTTCACACTTCGTCCTGAACCAGCCCTGGGACCTGTGCACGCCTCATGGAGGTGGTGGCGCTGGCGGGGCGCAGGAGGGCGGCTGTGATAGAGGCTGCCTGGCTGCTCCGTCCTCGAGCAGAGGCCCAGGCCCGAGCACCGGCCGTGCCCGCTCCACGCTGAGTGCCCCGCACATGCAGAGGCCGCTCCCTCCAGCCTGGGCCACCAGTGAGGGGAAGGAAGGCATTCCGGGCTGAGGGCATGTGAGCCACAGAGCATCCCCGGCCGGGGCCCCACCCCTGCAGGGGCCGGAGGGGGCGGAGGGGAGCAGCCCATGTCAGGGCCGAGGCCGAGGCTGGGCCAGGCGTGAACCGAGCCGGGAAGATCCGAGTCTGGAAACGGAGCCCAGGACGGGCTTCCCATCACCTCCAGGCCCAGAGACGTGCAGGGATTCTCCCAGGCCACACAGCAAAGCCGGGCCAGCAAAGGAACCAGAGCCAGGCCGCCTGGCTCCAGGCCTGGCTCCCGGGCTCCAGAGGGACCTGCTGTGGGGACCCCGAGCACGGAGGGTCCCCTCTGGCGAGAGCTGGGGTGGGTCCCTCCCTGTGGGGCGCGGGGCCGCGAGGCCTCCTCTCTGTCACCCGCCAGCGCACACCCCCCTGACAGAGGCCGCGGCAGGAGCGGGTGGGGGCAGCATTTGAGTGACCGGTACATCGGTTCCTTCAAACAGCGCGGCCCTGGCCAGCTCCGCCTGGCACAGCAGCCGAGCCACAGCGGCAAGCCCGGCACCGGCCCTCTGGGCACAGGGACACTGGCCTGGCCTGGGCGGGGGACAGACTCCACAGTCGGGCAGTGGGGGCTGGGCTCGAGGCCGGAGGAGGGGCAGACCCACCCCTGTAGGGGGAGCCGGAGGTCTGGTCTCAAAGAGAAGGTAGGAGCCAGGCCGGGGAGGAAGGAGATGGGACAGAAGGCACAGCCCGTGCAAAGGCCGCGTTGGAGCGAGCAGGGCCGCTCCGCGGTGAGGGGGAGCCAGGCTGACAGAGGGGCTGTGCGCCCCTGCAGCGGAAACCTCCCACCGCCCTGGCCCGCGGGGCTCCGTCGGTTGAGTGTCACCCCGGGCACCGAGGCTTCCGGGCTCCATCCCCGGGTGGGGGCTTGCGGGAGGCGGTTCGTGTTTCTCTCTCATTGATGTTTCTCTCTCTTCCCTCCCTTCCTCTCTCTCTCAAATCAGTAAATACATATATATTTTTAAACCCAAACAAACAAAAAACTTTGAGGAGATAACTGCCTTTCTACAGTAAGAGTAGCGTCTGGGCCCCTTTCCTTCTGAAAAACAAACCGACACCCTCCATCATGCTGCGTCTGGAGGGCGGAGCAGCCCTGGGACTGGGGCGGGGG